AAGACATAACTTATAGGTCTGTAGGAGATAGCTGCTTGCATAAAGGAGCTGCTAATGATAGTAAAATTCCAAACACTTTTGATTAAGAGATGATCTGTTGCTCTCAGCTTGTTTGTTTTAGATTTAGAGTCTGATGAGGCTGTGTGGGAGGCAGACACCCTGTCACTCCTGTGGGTTTTTTTTTCCTCTTTATTTTCATTCAAACCTTGCACAAGTACATAAGTCATCTTGGCAGCGGGGGCATTGGTTCACTGAATAGTCAAGTGCATCTTCAAAGCTGAAACTGGAAGACAAATGACAAAAACTAGATAGTAAGTGCATCAGTCTTCCAGGCTGTCATGAAATGATGCTTCTAGCAGCTTTATCTATAGTGACTTTCTGCTTACTCTTCTTCAATATGGGACAAGATCCTGCTCCTCCTGTCTGCTGGTCTGACTCTGTGTAGGAAAAATTAATTGAATGTCAGACAAATCCTAACTATGCCACCCTGCATAGGGGTCTTTGGGAAGGGGAATGGTGTTATGGAAGGAACCAGTAGGTCTACCTCATCTCTCTTGCTACTTCTCTGTGGATGCAAAGAAGACAGGCTACACAACAGGACCAATTGGCATGGCGTGGCCTGGTCCATAGGTAAAATGCTTCTTGGGGAATAGTTTGTGGGCTAGTGATGTATGATATTTTATTGTGACAGGATTTTATAAAGAGATGCATACTAAATGCTAGAACGTTGGAGAGCCTGTAATAGCTGGAACAAAATAGCTATTGCTGTAGTAATTAAATCTAGCTCATTCCAGTTGTTTTGAGTATGGTCAAATGGGTTAACCCAGTGTAATACATTTAGTTCTCACCAACACATTTTTTTATGTAGAATAAGAGAGCATTATGGGGTGTTAGTACAGGAGTATCATTTTCTGTCCATGTAGGCAAACCTCAAATTAGCATACTTACTCCCCAGTAATGATGTAATTGTGATTTTGATGTCTGTCACGTTTCAGAATTGTGTGGAGCATTCTGATTAAAAATGCCTCATAATACTGCTGCTTTTCCTTTCACCAGAGACCAGCAGAAACTGTAGATGAAGAAGAAAATGCAGAAGAGGAAAATGACAGAGGAGAGGAGGCATATAAAGGAGAGAAAGAATATCCAGAATTAAATGGAGAGGAAAGTGGGGAATCTGTTAAAGAAAGAAGTGAAGTGGAAGAAAACAGGAAGAAATTGAATGAGAATTATGAAGATGAAGCAGAAGAAACAGAGAATGTTAACCAAACAGAGAAAGGGGAACTTACCTATTTAAATGGCAAGAAAAATGAAGAAAATGGTGAGGGAATAGAGCACTTGAACTACCACGGTGATCTTCAGCCTGAAGAAGAAATAAAAGAGGACTCTGACAGTCAGAACCAGGTGAGTGTTAATTTTTTCAGTTTGCTGTTCTTAAGTTATTGTTCCTCATTCATCTCAGCCTTAGGCTTCTTAGCTAGTCTCTAAGTAGCTCACTCCTGATAAGGTCCTTAGAGCATTTATGAGAACTTCAGTTTATGGAAAAGCTGTTTTCTGTCTGTATAGATCAATTACATCAGTAATTACATTATATGCCCTCCAACTGAGAAAGCAGATGTTTCTCACTAGTTGATGAATCTGCATCTCCTGCTTTCCTGAGTATGCTGAATTTTGAAAAAAAAAGTAATAAAAATATTCTTGCAATTTCCAGAGAAGCATAATCATTCTGTATTTCCACACTACATTGTCCTTTAGGACAGAGCAAAAGAGTGTGTTCATGAAACCACAGTGCCTCATTACTTTGATGAGTTGACTTTCACAGAAGTTGCATTTCATAAAGGGCTCTTGCCATTGCTTTGTGGAAGTTTCATCTCCCTTTCTTAGAAATTGGAAAAGACAGTGGAGATGAATAAGATCCTCAAAGCAAGAGGCTTTAGTCGGTTTAAAAGCAAACATCATATTAATTTAGGAGACACGGTAACATGCTGTTGGCTTAGATGGAGGCATGCAGCTCAGAAAAATAAAGTGAACTACCCTGACCGTCAGATGAACTGACCAGCAAACAGAATTTGGGAAACAAACTGTTTTGTTTGATGAGGAGAATCCAGTTCTGGGAAGAGTGGGATTCTTAAGCATCAGAGGCGAAACAACTTGCTGCATATTCCATGTCTATAGGCTGCTGAAAAAGAGACTCTTCCTCTGCTGCTTGTGACACTGGGAACAGTTTCTTGCACCTTGCAACTGGGCTTTCTTCTGTTTCTGTATGACACACAAGAACATTTTTCAATTGAGAGCTGAGTAACGTGACATTTTCTTGGGCCCTGAATTTATTCTATGATTGATATATTGATTTTGTTTGTTTGTTTGTTTGAAAAGCTGAAGTTATTTATGGAAATGGAGAGAGTAAGTGAGCATCCACTTTAAATGGATATGCAGGTAACTGGATATTCAATGAAAGAACTGGGGGGAAACCTCTAATTTGAGTATTTTTCTCCTTTGGAAGGTGTATAAGGTAAATAAAAATGTTAATGTGATCACTCTCAGAAAACATTTTTTTCACGTTAAGAATACTTTGTGGAAATTTTAGTTTGAAGTGCTAACACTGTATTGAAATGAAGTTAAATCTTTGTTACCCAATGAAGTTAACAGTACCTGTCCTTTTTCTCTAGGTTGATTCCCGTTTTGAAAAAAACTCCACAAATCCAAGGGTGACAATCACCAGCCCACAGGAAAGTGAAAAAAATGACCAGAGCAATGACTATGCTGCAGTTGCGTAAAGAGAAAAAATGTAATGAGCAGAAAATGAAAGATTATAATACTTTAAATGTAAAGCATGTTATTTTTTGTGATTGATAACTTACACTGGCAAGATAGGTTGAGTACCCATATACTGAGTCTTGAGATGATAATGCCATATGGACTGATGTAGAAAACAAACATTAATAGCTACTAGAAGAACATAGAATTATTTTTACAAGGTGAGATTTTCAGATAGAATTTGAGGGGGAAAATACAAGAGTACTATATAGTAGTATTAGAGATAAATGAACTATTCTGTGATATAAGATGGTTAGCAGTAATAGAAAAACCACAAAAAAGACACTGTTCCAGAAAAAGGGAAAATAAACCACCTAAATTCAATGTTAAAACGTCTTTGCAGATTTGTTCAGGAAAGAGAAACAATTTTTGACTTTTAATGAGGACATATGTAGTTTTTCCTTTAAAATTCCACATGATATATGTGATTTCCAGACATAACATTAAGATATAATTAGAATATGTTCTTCACTTAATGGACTTATGCCCACAAAAAATGGTGTACTATAATGAGGTGTCAGTCCCAGTGTTACTAAAAAGTGGATTTTGAATATATTAATTAGAATCATTAGTTTTTACATTCATAAATAGTACTTACTTAGCACTATCAATGTATGTAGACAGCCTGCAATACTGCAGCTTGTTCCCATTTACAGCAAGAGGTTTTGTTGATTGTCCTGCACCGATTCACTAAACAGTGAATTGTTATCATAGTGAAAAAAAAGTAAAGCAAGAGTATGTAGCAGATTAGTTTCAAAAGTTGAGTTTGGATAGATTTGTAATTCAGGCTATGTGAAAGTTAACTTATTAATAAAAAAAAAAAAATGAATAGGCCTGGATTCAGACTGAAATTGCCATGAAACCTTTGATGTCAATGGAGCCATTTTAATTTGAAACACGTTAGGATAAGCCATCCAGTTTTCTGTAAAATTTGGCGACAATTGCTGCATTTATGAATCCTTTACGTAGCCTTAATGGTTGGAAGTGTGTCATCATCTTTTTTAGCAAGCTGGCTCCTGATAGGCTGTGGTTTAATTTGCATTAGTAAATAAGGCATTGATCCACAGCATTAGTCCTCTTAATGACACCAGTTCCATTGCTCTTATGGTTTCTCTCTTAGTAATGGGAATAATTTGTAGTTCATAGAAATACAGCCCTGAGCTTAGTTTCATTAATTATACAAAAGAAATAGTGGGTTTGCTTATTGTTAATGCTGGCACATTATTACTATGAGAAACTAACTGTCATTTTTGTGGATTTCATACCATTAAGACAAAAATTACATTTGTGAACAAATTGAACTTGAAGCGCTGTTTGAGGAATGTGAAGAACCACTTGTCATGACTGAAACTCATACAAACATCTTCACTTTTTCTACTAACTATTAAATATATTTTTCTAATGGAGTAGAAATACACAGAGATCCTTCAGCATGTTTCTGAGTATTGGCAATGTAAGTATACAACTCATAATGTTAAAACCCATATGAACAGGGTTAGAACAGTTTGCCCTGCAGCATCTCTGAATTGTCTATGATTCGTGTGTCCTTTGTTGAACTGTCTGACAAGGATCTGAGGGAATATGACATCTGTGATCAGTTCAAAATAAGCTCCTAATGTAGTGAAGCTCTTGAGCAAGTATGTATGCTGCTTTTATTTGATACAGCAATTAAGCCTATGCTCAAATATCTTTGAGTTCACTGGGATTTAAGAAGACATTTAAAGTTAAGCAGAAGTAACCCCCCCCCCCCAAAAAAAAAAAACCACACAAACCCCAACAAACAACCAAACCAGAATAAATAAAATAACTGTACGTGCTACTGAGGAAAAAAACACATACAGAAATCCTGTAGGTACTTTTATAGTTAATCCTGCACTAGAATAATATATGCAGTAGCATTAAAAGCCCTCAAACAATACTTAACCAGCCCGAGAAAGCAGCTCTGTCTCCTCGGGAAGCTTAGAGGAACTTACCCTGTGCAAAGCTGACCAAGGAAAATGGCTAATGCTGCGTTTTTGCTCACTTACAGCTGAATAGCAAATACGCTTACCAGTAAGCATGGGTTTAAATATGTTGCTTAAGTGTGTTATGGTAATCTTGTATTGACGTGACTATGAACGGAGCTCTTCACTAGAAGTTAATGGGGTACCAAATACAGGGCTCTGCTTGCTGTCATCTTATTGCAGGTTAAGACTTGGACAACCTCTGAGATGTTTTTCATCCTCAAAAGTTTGAAGTTAAATTGACACCCAAAAATATCTGATGGAGATACTCAATCTGAAGAACGTTTGCCTCAAAATGTACCTAGAAACAATATTTAGAAGCAGCTGAGGGATTTGTATGGTGATTCTTTTCTCCCTTTGGTTTCCATTTATAGCTTTTGTCTGCCAACAGTTTCTGTCATTTCTTCCCTTTTCCCCAAATGTTCGGTGTCTTCCATGCGTAAAAGACTTACAGATATCAATAAGAGTAATTTAAAAGCTTAAACTAAATTCTAGGGAAGTGTAATATCATCGTTTTCTTTCATGGGAACATGAAATCCCTATGAGTGTTGTTCAGCCTTTAAAATGTTTTCCCTTCTCTTTTCTTGTGAGAAAGACAGGATATATTTCTTCAGAATAGCAAGTCAGACTTTTTGGAAATAGAAATAGAAATATAACCATTTTATCATTCACCTTACAACACTGACAACAATAATTTTGTATCAGGTTCTTTGATATAGAGAAATTAGTTTATGCATAACAAATAATTCTGATGTAAAGTAGAAATTAAACAAGAAGCATACAGGTGGTCTTGCTAATAGCTTTTCTGTCTGGATTTGCTGTGTGTGATGGCTTAACTCAGTTTTACATGAGAAATACATTATTTTGTTAAGCTCATATAATGTTATTTTATTATGCTTATATGCAACAGTTCTGAGGTTTTTTAAAGAGTTGTTTTCTTGTTTTGGCTTTGTTTTTAAAAATAATTTGCTATTAAAGAGAACTAGCTTACAGATACTCCTGTGTCTTGTCTCATATCAAGGCTTGTTTGATATTAAGTCTATCTTTGGGTGACTGATTTTATAAACTTGGTGATTTTGCAGCTGATAGGATTCTCCCATAACTAGAACTTAAAAAATTAAAATTCAGATTTGGTAATTTTCATATTGCACCTGTGAAAGAAAATATGCTGACTATTTAGCTGTTGCACATTTATAAATCTAAGAATAACAGCACAGTTAAAACCACTGGTTTTTAATATCATTGTTCAGGTTAGGACTGTATTATCAGTATGTATATACTGTTCAGCTGATACTTAGTACATAACATGAGTTTTGTCTCTTCACTGGCAATACTTGAGCAAACTACCAAAACTCCTAAACATACGCTTAAATCCCATAGGATTTTGTCTTGCATTAAATTTTATCTAATGCATTGGTGCTTTGACATATCAGAGCCAAAATAAAGTTGGTTTCCGGAAGCAAATGGGTGAAAACAAAGAAAAAATAATCCCCGCTCAGTCTCATCTAAAGTAAAGCGAAATAAACCTGCATGTAGAAGGAAAAAAGAGTAAGTGTAAGTATTCTGATTACTTGAAAATATGGGGAAATGATTGTTGCTTGGGTATTTTGATTGATTATCTCAAAGGTACACTAAAATAACTGTTAGATAATAAATGTAAGTACAAAATTAAGTATCTCGAGGAAGGGTGTATTTATTAAGTAGTAGCAATCAGAACGATTTAATGGGATGCAGCTCAAGAATGTATTGTTTTGGGTGGCTGACAGCCTTCAATCTAAGTTTTAATCAGAAGTGCTTTAGACATGGCAATACAGTGAAGCCATCTGCTATCTTTAATTATTGTGCCTGTGCATATTTGTATGCATTAACTTACAGGCATGCGTGTGAACACTGTAACTGAATGCATTTGTTGTGTGTTCACACGCAAATGATGTGCATATATAATAATCTAATCTTGTTATATTGTTAGTGATGGGAAAAATCAGTATTGATTGTAGCTGAAATTTGCTATAACTACACAAGAAAATATAGCTAAATCTAGTAATAACTAACATCATTAAAAGGGTGACATATCTTTTTAAGTTATGTGTATACTGAGGTGCTTTGCTGAGCCAAGCTCAGAATGCTTGAAGCCCTGAAATAAAATTGAAATAGCACCCTAAAACGGACTGGGAGCTACATCAGTCATACGGAAGTGGACAGGATTTGGAAAATTCAAGAAGGAAAGTACAAGTCTTTACTACAACAGGTGATACCAAAACTTTCAAAGATCTTTAGTACTAGCTACAGTGCGGGGAACATGTGATTCAGACAAAGGAGTATTTTGAAACGGTAGGCAGACTTCCAACAACCTATATGGTTACTCGAAATGCCTTTAAATGTTCATCTTTTTCTTGCAGTCACCTACAGCTGTGATGATACTCAGCTCTAATATTTGCGATTTTATAAAAGAATCCCTGATTCAATTATACTTTTCCGTTGTCCTCAGTGGGACCGAAATTTAATTCAAAATACAGGTTTTATTAGTTGAAAGCTTCTACTCTCTAATCCTAAGATGGTTTCAAAAATCTCTTGTTCGGTATAAACTAAAAGGAATCTAATTGTCTATAAAATGATTCACAGTTCTGTATTTGAAGAACATGCAAATTCGTGATTATGGTTAACAGATTTTCAAAGGCACATGTTTTATGCGTACTATTTATACTGTGAACTCTCTGATCAGTGTCTGTGCATTTCAGTGTAAAAAACAATGTCAAGTCTCTCTTCTGTAAGAATGGTTTGCCTGGATGCTGACTCTCATATTCTGGACCCTAGCCTTTGTGCTGGCACCGATGCGCTTGTGCAGCAGGTGAAGTCAAAGCTCCTATTCCAAGCTCCCTCTGTAGAATCATTTTTGAAGGCATTTACTTTTTCCAAACTCCAAAATAAATGTTGTGTCCGAAGCTAAATTCCTTTCC